AGGGATTTAACAAGTCATGAAGGCCTGCTTCGGCAACTTTGAAACGTATATCTGTTTTTCTGAAGATTCGCCAACTTTATTTGATTGGCACCTTTTAAATTTCCTATGGTAACTCTTTAAAAATTCAATTATCAAATAAACACAACGCCGCCTTGTAAATTTGCAAATAATTCTAAAAGCTGCATACAGGAACTTTATGGTCTGCGTCAAGAACGACCTATACTCTGAACAGGAACAAATGAACCTACACAGTTATGTGAAACGTAGGTACACATCACTGCGTAAGTACCATTGTTTATGTATGCAACAATGTTACATACGCAGTGATGTGAAACGTAGGTACAAAAAGGTACCGTACGAGATACTTTGAAGAAAAAGTATGCATAAAAATTGAACGTTAGTCACGCTTTTCGGCATCACTTACTGAAATTTGTGACACGACAACTGAAAAAGGGGCTCGTAGGGGGGCGGCGATAATCCGTGACTGTAAAATCTGTAAAAATAATGAAAATTATACTTATAAAGGTACTGCACGGAATACGTTCAAGAAAAAGTATGCATAAAAATTGAACGTTAGTCAAACGTTTTGGAAACATTTACCTGAAATTGTGGCAAGACAACTTAAAGAGAGGCTAGTAGAGGGCGACGTTCATCAGTGGCTGTAAAATCTGTAAAAATAATGAAAATTACACTTATAAAGGTACCGCACGGAATACGTTCAAGAAAAAGTATGGATAAAAATTGAACGTTAGTCAAACTTTTTGGAAACATTTACCTGAAATTGTGGCAAAACAACTTAAAGAGAGGCTTGTAGGGGGGCGGCGGTAATCGATGACCGATAAAATAATGAAAATTATACTTATAAAGATACCGTACGAGATACTTTCAAGAAAAGGTATGCATAAAAATAAAACAATTTCAGGTAAATGTTTCCAAAAAGTTTGACTAACGTTCAATTTTTATATATACTTTTTCTTGAACGTATTCCGTGTGATACCTTTATAAGTGTAATTTTCATTATTTTTGCAGATTTTACAGACACTGATGATCGCCGCCCTCCTACGAGCCTGTCTTTAAGTTGTTTTGCCAAAATTTCAGGTAAATGTTTCTAAAAAGTTTGACTAACGTTCAATTTTTATGCATACTTCTTCTTACTGCTGAAAATTGTTAAAAGTTTAGTGTTACTATTAAGTTGAACTATATTACTGTTTTTTCTGTTTTGTGATCTTTTCTATTTGCCTGATTGTCTGTTCAAATTACATAAAATATTTTATTTTGTACAAGTGTATTTGTTAGATTTAATAAATATTTTTTACTATTTCACTTATTATTACTTTTACACTTAAAAGTTCTTATGTTAAGGTGAAAAATGGACAAGTAACAATGTATTTCCTTTTTTGCAAAAGAAACAATGTGTTTTCTTTTATAAAAAGGAAAATTGCATTGTTTCTTATTCATTTTTCACTTTAACTTATACATTACGAAAAACAATAAGTAACTAACACATTTAAAGTGCGCGCGTTTTTTATTTAGTATTAACCAAACCTGCTGGAGGGTGCGCAAATCAGCGCGTTTCAAGTGAGCCATCTATTACCCTTTGTATATCTATTATCTATGTAATCTACTTAGCTTGGATGGAATTTAACGCGCCGAACATGACCGAGCAAAGCGCGAGAACTCCCGAACGCAGTTTCGGTTTCGGTCGTAGTTTCGGCAGGTTTTCCGCCGAAACCGACACTAAATCGAAACTCGTTTTTTGCCGAAACTCGACCGAAACCGAACTTTCGGTCGGACACTACTTATTACCCATGGACATTATTGAACGAATTGCATTTACAAGGCATCGAACGAGCGGAGGGCAAGTTTGTGGCTCAGTAGACTGCGTTAGGTCGCTCGGTAGACCTATCTACCTACAGTGTGGAATGAACATTATATTTCATTTAACTAATTTCTTCTTTTTTAAATATATTCAAATAGTAAAAGTGATTCTCATCTGTATGTGTATGTGTACGTGTGTATGTATGTGCAAAATGTAACAAGAAACACTGATGGTTCGAACTGTACGTACCACCAGCATATTATTTAACTATACTTATACATGTAGGTTATGATTCAAAGCCGAGGACTGCGGCGTTCGCAGCTACGACGCTCCCGGAGGTCAACATAGTACACTTGTATCAACCGCTTATAGATATTGATCAAATGGGCCAAGTCGGTGGCTTAACGCGTTAACGTCCTGATCGATTGTCGTATTCTCGCACTCGTACTCGGTTCGAACTCGGCCATCATAATCATGACTATCATCCATCCTTCCTCCTCCTCCAACATACACACAAATAGACAACATACAACACACACACACACACACACATCGCAAACATATACACACACAACACACCTGAATCTTCGGTAGTAAGGGATGAAAATTTCTAGGTTCGTCATAATTTTCCTTCCGGTGTTATGACATGACCTAGGTATTTTATATCTCTTCTAAAGAGGATGCATTTCTTGGGACTTCAATTTTGTGGCTGGCAATTTCTTGAAGACTTCAGTCACCTTTCGGAGATAATCGTCGAGGTTCTTCCTAGTATGATGATGTCGGCTAGGTAGATGATATAGATTTTACAGTTTAGTCGTTGTAGTACAGTTCATTGCAAAATCCAAAAGACATCACACTGAATTGAAATAGACCATTCCCAGTTGTAAATGTAATCCACCTTATCCCGTGGGTATACTTCCACATGTTAGTATTTACCTTTCAAATCGAGAGTAGAGTGCTATTTTGCTCTAGAGTGTCGTTTATTTGGGGTAATGTCTTACTGCCGTCCTGCGTTACATCGTTCAGCTTCCTGTAATCACATAAAAACTCGTGGAATCATCTTTCTTGCGTACCATTATTATACGGGAGATCCAAGAACATTGAGGTGGTTCAATCGCCTCTCGTTTATGCGTGCCCTTCATTGACTTACTCTTGCTTCGCCCAAATTCTCTTCTAGCTGGTTGTGATATGTTACGTTAAGTCCTACCAAAATCTTGATCTGAGAGGGCGAAGGCATGTTGAAAACATCTAAGAAGTTTTTCTAGTTGCTTGACATGGTGCTTGTTGAGTAACCGTTTCACCAGTTCTGCCAAAACTGCAGGGAGTGATCTTTCAGGTTCTTCTTCCCAGTCACAGTAGTGAATTTTAGCCATTGGTTCGAATACTCCTCTGAACTCTGTGCTTTTGCACATCTTTTGCTCGAAGTCTTTCAAATTGGCTATTCTAACAAGTATCGATGATGTTCCACTTCTTACAAGTATACGTCACACTAATAATTCTCTCGGAGTACTCCGTAGTATTCTATATTCCTCTACGATCACCTTATATGCTACATCTACATTGGTGTGCATAGTACAAAATCTAAGATTTAAATCGATTTCATGTTCCTGAAGAAGATCCAACCTAATGGTGATATCATCTACTATGTGAGTCATCAATACCGAACTATTTGTATGCAAGATGGCATTTCCAGTTCTAATTTCTACGTAACGTACTCTATGAATTGGTGAAATCTCTCCGGTAGCTATAGTCAAGATAAGTCTTCTTGTCAACGGTTGAATTCGCTATTCCGATACCACATCAGGTCAAACGATTGTGTTGGATGCCCGTGTATTGATAATCTTTTTAACATTAGTGTCGTCCAGTCTTGAAATGATGACCTCTTCAAGAATTCGGTGAGGGTGAACCAACTTGCGTCCCATAGAGTTGGCTGACTAACCGGATATTTGAGGGGCACTCTCGGCTTAGGTGGTGCACTCTTCTACAATCCCAAAATTTCAGATAACCACTGTACTTCTTGCATTACTTCTTTTATTACGGCTTTTAGGTTGCGTTTGATGTACCTGTTGTAGATGTTTATCGCCCTATCTCATTTTTAAGCGATTGACAAGATAGTGGAAGTCATATCGTTAAGACTCATTTCGTAGAATGTATTTCCGTGTACAGCAATTATTTGCGTTGTTTTCTCTGATTTGGCCCAGGTATTAGCCTCTGCCGCTGCCCTAAACTGGATCAAGTCAATAGTTGGAGGTGTAATTTTCAACGGCTTAATACTGGGATCGTCAGTTCTTTCAGTAGAGAGGAGTTTTGGCCTTCCAATTTCATCTTTCATTTCTTCGATCTTTCTTTCTATTATTATTTCGCTTTCTTCCATCTTCTTTTCCCTTTAATTTCTAATGTTATTTACATTACCGTCCATTGTCATGTTTATTGCTTCCTGTACAGCTTTCATTTTCTGTTTCATTTCTTCTTGAGCTGCTTTTCTTGTCTAGTTTCCATGGCTGAATTCATTTCTGGCACCATTGCCATTAATGTATTTATTTGTTCGATGCGGCGTTTTCTTCCGAGGTTTTTGGCGGTGGTCTGTGGAATTTTACTTTTCCAAATATTTCGCCGTTCTTTGCTGACGGCATCTTCAGTGGTGACTGTGCAGGTGCTGCGTCGTAACTGCTCAGTCACCACTGAAGATGCCGGCCGTGAAAGCCTAAGAACTATAGCATTTATATGTTCTTCCATTTTTGCTTCGCTACCTCTTTCCTCCAACGATTTAATTTTATTTTGCTTTTAAAATTTTCTACAGATCTATCAATTTTTGGCAGGATGTTTATTAGATCCCCGTTATGCAAAAATTTCGTGGTAACGCCTTTAATATGTATCACAATTTTTTTTGTCCATTTATTTTTGCATCCGCCATTTTGAGTTGGTTAAGGGCTTTTTCAAACTCGTCTACAGAAGTCGATACTTCTGGAAAGTTTTTCAATCTGCACAGCTGTAGACTTCTTCATATACATCTTAGCTACTTTTCTTATGACATATGTTGATTGCAAATATCCAAAAACAATCAAGCAATGGTATTGCCATGTCATCCATCTTCATGTATGACATTTCATTATCATAACCACACTGTGGTACCATGTCAAATAAGTTTAGGAAATATATAAATATAAATTAAATAGCCAAATTACTATGAATGTCGTATATTAGCCACTTAAACACTGTAAATCATGCTACAAATCAACCTATCAACAATCAATATTTGGTACCGCGATTTTTGTATCGATATAGCAAACTATATAAATCTAAATGTACTAAACACTCAACAAAATAATCTTTTAATAAATTTATTGTAATAAGTAGTAATTCTCATTATGTGAAATATATAAAGCTAAATAATCAGAGCCAGGAAATAATAATAGTTGATTTAAAGCTTTCATCTAGTTGGTCAATCTCCAGATACTGAAATATATTTTTTATTATTCCAATATAAGATGTCCTCTCAATAAAAGTTAATTTTGTAGGTTGTTTTATTTTATTAATTCACTTACCTGGTTTGTGATATTATACTTAAAATTTTTATGAACATTATTTACAATAACCACTGAAATTGGTTTTATCAATCCTAATACAGTAACTTTTCCTAAGTTAGGAGGAGACTCCTGGCTCCACCATTGTGGTTCAATTTTCAAATTTCCTGGTTGAAGAAGAAAATTTATAAGTGTATATTTGTTTTCTTCTATAGTACCTTAAAAACAATTGTACAGTTTAACAGCTCTAACTAAAAATAAAAATTAAACGAACTTAGAGAGTCTCCATCATCCCAGTACAATTGTCCTACTCCTTTACCAAACTCATTGGGTGCTGCTAGAAGTTGTATTTTTGTCTTACGCGAAGCAGTGGTAGTATTTTTAGGTTCTTGTTGTGGCAAAATATAACCTCCTCTTATTAAAATAGGAATTGTGTCTAAGGGCGCGGATAAGTTAACTGTTTCACCTTTACTGAATAGACTCTTTTTTGTATAAAAATCATACCATACACCAGCAGGTAAATAGGGAGATACTGAAAGTTCATTTTCCTGTAATGTTAAAAAAAGTGACAAAGAATAAATTTACAATTATGATGGGAAGGAACAACCTTGAGAACAGGAACAATTAACAGTGCTGGCCCCCAAAGAAATTGTTCTTCAAGACTGTAGGTGTTTTTATCGTAAGGAAATCTAAAATAAATTACAATAAGATCTTCCTCACATAAAATATACTTACATACTCAAAAAACATAGGCGTAGCAACAGTGCTTCCCTCAGTATGTGCTATCCAAAATAAGGTGTAAAGATAAGGAAGGAAAGAATATCTTATTTTTAAGGATTTTATAGAAGATTCCACTACTTGAGGACCTAAAGCGACGGGATCTTGATCCTAAAAAATCACTGAACAAATTAAATCGTACATCAAATAAATTAATCCGTTCTACAATAGCATCATCAGTATTGTGGTTTCTAGAAAACGGATAGAAAGCGCCTAATTGCATCCAACGATTGCACAGTGCGGAAGTTGTGTTTCCATTGAAACCACATATATCTGCACCCATTAAAGGAATTCCAAACATACTAAAGCTCAGTAATTCTAGAAATGAAAAAGGTAATTGTCACACCGAAAACAAAAATAATGCTTTTATTTACCTGGAATTGTACACTTCATATCGTACCATGTAGAAACAACATCACCACTCCAATGCCCCGAATAACGACCCAAACCGGGAAATGATGAACGAGAAATAATCATAGGGCGCTTTCCTGTTATTTCTGCTAAAGCACTGTAATAAATTATTTAAATCCTTTAATAACTATAGTCGTATTCATTTTATTTACAAATTAGTAACGATAGCTTCAGATAATCCATAAATATTATGAATATCGTAGTGATTTCCCGCATAGTGTTGTGCAGACATGCACATTGTTTTATAGTTTAATTTACCCCCTTCTATGGGCGGTACGTATGGTGGTGTCTCCAAGTCATTATTAGGACAACCATAAATAGAACCAGAAACAAAATTGGATGGCTCGTTCATGTCTATCCACGCGCCATCGAAAGGAAATAATTGATGCATATTTCTTAACATCAGCACCCAATAATCAGTAGTATTTGGAAGAGTGAAATCGGGCCAAACTGTTGAGCCACTGTTCCACACCTGTAAATGTAAACATAAATATTAAATTGAATTCTTCAAGCTCATTATATACATAGTTGTTTTTAGTTAAAAATATCATTTTAAATGTTTATTTAATCACTGTTATGGTAATAATAATGAAAGACACCTTTCCAACAAGTGGCTTTCCGGAAGAATTTTTCACAAAAATGTCCATTTTAAGACCTATATCATATGGTGGATAGCTTCCCAATTTTTCACTTCCACTTATTCCTGGATCGATTATAGGTATGTAGTGCATTCCAAGAGCATGAAGTTCATTTACAAATGCGGGCAATTCCCCAAAGTTTTGTTGGTCTAAAGTAAAATCGTTTCTATTTTGCATATAGTCTAAGTCATTCCATTGTGTGTCCTAAAACCACAAAAAGTATGTCTAATTTTCTGTATAGAATTGAAGTATCGTCTAAAAAATTTATAACATTTTAGTTTTGAGTTCTAATGTTACATAGATTTTTAAGAATTGCTACTCTTTAAAAGTAGCTGTTTGTTTTTATAAATGACACTGAAATCTCTAATATAAAACAGTAAAATCCAAAATTCTTTACAGAAAAGTTTGAAAAAGTTAAAATGCGTTCGACACTTAAAAAGTCATCCTCAGGAGTCATAATTCGTTTAAGGTTTTTGAAATGTATTTATGTGGAATAAGATTTAATGTTTTCATACAGGGTGCCTTTAAAATAAGTAGCAAGTTTCGGAGGGTGCCAACTAGATGTAATAAGGAATTGCATGGTGAGTAACGCAACGTAAGTAAGGGACAAAAAAAATTGTAAGAAAACCACTAGTTACAATTCGAAGCTGATGATAGGCGTGAATTGGCAACGTAGGTCTATACCTACTAATTGAGATATGAAAAATGATAAGGATGTAACATCTGTTCCTTTAAAATTCGCTGCATTGTCACATGGGACAAGTCAAGATGGCTTGCTATTTCGCATGTACTGCTTTGGCAATTGTCTTCTATGCAATTAAGGATTTCATTTTTAACATTTTCAACTATTTCTAGTAATGCATGTACCGCTTTTAAGACGGTTCGCCTGCTAAAAACTCTTCAGTAGGGATATAGAGCATTGACAGTGACATATTAATCTAGTATCAATAAGTCACACATTTTTGATGCTGCGATGCCAAGGGCATTGTAAAACTATTTCTGAATTGCTCACGTATTTAACCACTTATACAAAAAGGGTGCGAGATGATATTGAGACTAGTTTTAAAATGAATTCCTTTAAGAATCAAAAGTTTTCCGAATCGCTAGGTACCACCCTCAAAAACATTAAGTGCCATTTGTGTAGTAAATTGGGTCATATTCGAAGTCAATGTCAAAAGAAAAATCAACAAATTAAAAACTTGTAGAAATTACCGGCATAAAAACAAAATTAATATTTTTGATTGTTCCAGACAATATTTTAGACTTTGATGTATTAATAGGCTGCAACTTGTATGAAGATCCTGAATTAGTCGCTATTACTGACGTAACAGGAATAGTTATTAAGAGAAAACAAATATCTGGTATACGTCGAGCATTGGAAAAACACACCTCCCGGTACACAATCGACTGTTTGTGTCGCACCTCATGAATACCTTCAACAGATAAAGTCCCTGTTGGACCAGTTTAGCGATTTAGTCCACCACTGGCTACAATGTTCCGGCGATTAAAACAGCAGAATTAAACATCGATAATCATATTGTCAACAGACCACCGCCTCGATTATCATTATCAGAAAGAGCCGTTGTTAGGGAAATCATAAATGAATTGCCTACTTATAAAATTAATAAAGAGAGTGAGTCACCGTATGATAGCTCAATGCTTTTAGTACGGAAAAAAGAATTTGTGTCGATTACCGTGAATTAAATTCCCACACTATCAAAGACCGTTTTCCTTTACCTATAATTCAGGATCAAATAAATCGTTTAGAAAGAGGAAAATATTTCACATCACTAGATCTAGCGTCTGGGTTTCACCAGATACCCATAAGCGCTGAGTCCATCGAAAAGACAGTTTTTGTCATACCGGACGTACACCGTGGTAACGGGCAAGTTGAGACTTATATGAGTACGATCAAGAACCGTTTACGTATAGAGACAGACGTTAAGTTAGAATGGTCGAACAGTCTCTGGAAAATCCAACTCGTATTAAACGCCACTTTCCAAAAATCAATAAAGACGATTGCCATACAGGCTCTATTAGGAATAAAAGCTGTGACTCCTTTAATTAAATCTGTAACTCAAAATTTAGCAGACGATATTCGGCCTAGGGTTAGAAAAGCATTAGAAATTAATACTACAAATCTCGAGAAAGTCACTGCTAAGCAACAAGGCAATTGCCAATTTGGGTGGGCGATAATGTATTAGTGCATAGAGACTCTACCATGCACAAGAGTAAGTTAAATTATGAACACCTAGAACTTTATGAAATCATTGGAATCACGCAAGAAGGGCGATATGATCGCCAAGGAACAACTACGAAGTTGGCCCTCGGAATTGTCGATCGAAACTGATATGGAATACTTGCTTTCATTTTTGGAAGCCGATGAAACCACGACAGAGTAAAAATGTAAACGTAAACATAGGTAAACACGTCAGCGTCGCAGAACCTGATGGAATACTTAGTAAAAACATATCAGTGTTGTAGAATCTGATGGAACATCGGTTGCAATATTTATAAACACGTCAGCGTCGCAGAACCTGATGGAATAAGTAGTACAAACACATCAGTGTTGTAGAACCTGATGGAACATCGATTGCAATATTGATAAATATGTCAGCGTCGTAGCACCTGACGGAACATCGAATTTGACCAGTAAAGCACCAAAATCTGCGTTGTATATGGTTGAGAAATCATAAGAAACTACATTAATCTAATTTTAACAGAAAATTGAAATTAAAGCCGAACAAGTACCAATTGTTGAATGAAAAAAGCAAAAGTATAAGTCGAATGCAGCCGGCAACAACCAGATAGGTGATTGGATTCGATTGGACAACAGCGTCGCCAAACGGACGGCAAGGATTTGAATTCAGCCAGACAAGCTACACAGTTTTATAACTTAGTAACGAGTTGCGGAAAAGAAGTTGATTATCTTTAACGCCAGTTAGGTAACTATCTCGAACGTCAGTATGATGACCGCATCCAATCAAGCAGGTATAGAAAGCTATCCCGAGTGTGAGTACGATAACAGCATTCAATCAAACAAAAGGTAGAGCCATGCTAATCTCCTATCTTCTATTTTTTTCCATCTCGATTCTAATGTTAGTTATCTTTAACTCCATTCACGTATTTATTGCTTCTTGTATGTTCTTTATTTCTGTTTTCGTTTTTTCTTGTCCCATTTTCATGTCAACTTCCACTGTTTTAAATTCTTGCTTCATTTCTTCCTGTCCCTTTTTCGTTTTTTATTATGTCTCTTCCATATTCTATTTCATTTTTTCCTGAGCTGCTTTTAATTCTTCTTCCCATTTTCATATCATCTTCTAGTGCTTTTCATTCTTGCTTCACTTCTTCTTGAGCTGTTTTCATTTCTTCTGACCAGTTTTTGTGTTATTTCTGCGATTATCGCCATTATTTGTTCCTCTAATTTTGCTTCGCTACCCTGGTCGCAACAGACATAAAATATCTCGATCTCTTCTAGAAGGTTCTATGAAATTCTTCGATTTTGGTAAAATCTTATCTTACTCTTAATGATGTACGGTTTGATATGGTTATTCATGAACCTTGGAAACTTGCAGAAAATTCGATGAAATTTTTCGATGACGGCGAATTCTTAATCTTCTCTTCGGGAGCTTTCCAATAATGTATGGTTTGTTGGGGTAAGTCACGACGGGTAGAAACTTCTAGAAACTCTGATAGATGTCTTGGATAACGTTGGATTCGAGAGCTTTCGGACGAAATGTCACTTGTTAGGGTTTCTTGCAGACGATGGAAGCTTCCTAAAAATTGGACGATGGAACGCTTTGGAATATTCGATGGAATTTTTTAAATCTTCACCAAATAAACATTTAGTAAATGAAACCCCAATAGTTAATGAATATTTATATAATTTGTTAGAAGCTAGATATGTACCTACTATTAATGTAATTACTAGATAAGATACTAAAAATTAAAAAATTAAATGATAATTCATGACATGTAAGCTACGAATGTTGGCAGGATCAAACTAATGCCTTCTGTGAATAAAATGAATAAAACACGTTAGTAAACTGAGAATCAGAGTTATCTGTGTTTACGCGGTTCTAGTGCAATCACCTGATGTATATGCATTGGTGACGTTATTGTTTTGTTAGGTTAGGTTTGGAGATGTATATGTATTAGTGACGTTATTGTATGATTATTAGGTAGATTTGTGTCAGACTGGAATTTCTTCAGTGCTCCTGCCCGAAGCGGGCTGATATGTTGGAATAATGTCTTCGAAAAGTATGTTTCATTATGATCTTCGCGCCCAACGTATATATATATATATATGAAAATGATCAGCATTATCACCTCTAGAAGATGCTAAAAATTCAAGGTCGTCGTGTTGGCTGAAACACATATATCCTCGTCACATTATTCTAACATTCAAAATATCAGCTCGCCTCCGGCGCAATAACGTCATCAATGGATATAGGTACATCTCTAAACAGCCTGCTGTATTATTGCCTATTTAGTATTATCTGTAATAAATTTGAGATTGCTATTTAAGAAACGTATAGATTTCCTAGGAAATGTGTCTAATATAATTTATTTCACACATTTCCGGGCGATTTTAGGATTTATATACATTTCCTAGGAATTGTATACCGTATCAGGCGTTTTGATCCCCCGACAAAATATCCCTGACAAGATATCCCTGGACAAAATATCTCCGTGACAAAATATCCCTAGACAAAATATCCCCGTGACAAAATATCTCCAGACTAAATATCACCGAACAAAAGCCGCGATAATAAATTATCGAACCGATACTCCAATAAATAATATAAAATTCATATACTTCATTTCATGTATTTATTTGTATTTATTTAATAACTAGCTGTCCCGGCAGACTTCGTACTGCCCCAATCGATATATAAAAGACCTAAATTTTTGTATAAAATAAACTTAGTTGACAAATGTCAAATATTATGGTTGCGTTCAGAAATTTAATTTGACAGAACTTAAGATTTATCAATCTACATAAAAATAATCTGAAAGATAGTTAACAACATTCATATTTATTCACCTTTTAAACCTTCCCTGGACTTCCACAAATAATTCAAGACCAAAATTAGCCAAATCGGTCCAGCCGTTATCGAGTTTTAGCGTGACTAACGAACAGCAATTCATTTTTATATATATAGA